TCCAAATTTGAGGAGCCTCCCAAACACTATAATTGAGGAAACAATTTCCTATATTGATTCCAGAGCCTCCATAGGTTGAATTTGTCTATTCCCAATTGCTACCATGAAATCATCATACAAAATGCTTGATTTGAGTTTATGCCACCATTTTTTGTCATTGTGATATGACTAAGAGATCTTTTGTAAGCTTGTCATGCTTCAATCCAAAATCTCTAAATTTTATTTTCTTATGTTCATTATTTCCACAGTGCACATTCAAAGGATATCATAAAAATGTTCCAACACCACCATGGCCTTTAAACTTCTCCACAAAGGCTTTAATGCAACGCATCAGGAGAAGAGTTTCTGGGCCCAAGAAATTAGATGTGTCATATATTTTAAGTTTATTAGGGTGTTATTTATTTTATTTATAAAATAGAATAAATTATCTTTTTTAATGATAGTTCAAATTTGAATTATTTAAAATGTTATATTAAAAGCAAGACATTCACATGATCTCCTTTTTCGAACTGTATCTAGTTTTCTTCTCTCTCCTCCGAGTATCATCCACCAAATTCCCAACTTGTTCCTTACTCACTATCCTCGTCTATATTAGGTCTCACATTTTTAAACTTCAATGTTATGTAAAATAAATAAATGCTAATGATGTCAAGCTAAATGTAAACATCATTAATTGGCTGGCTAGAATTATTAGATCAGTTGCTCTAGGGACTGGTATTCCACAGATTTATAATCTATCCAAATTTTAAAATGTTCATCAAAGTATAAGAGACAAAAAACAAGGGATTCATACTAACGGAAACAAAAATTTTAAGGGAATCCTTATAGAAAGATAGTTGTGTTGGAGGTTTAAGTAACATGCATAAGCAATAAGATATTGTTAAATCCTAACCCCTCAATCCTGGATTAATCTCGCGGCTGTAAATAGCAATCCATGGGAAGCTCCCTCACGTTATGAGCCTTCCTTAGTTAGACAGCAAAATAAGGAAGGATTGTATTACTCTTTATTGTGTAGTTATCTGTTTCTTTATTTAAGCATCTTGTATAGACTATAAATAGGGATCATATTAAATAAAGTTTTAAACTTTTCCCTCTCAAATCTTCTGAATTCAACATGGTATCAGAGCCACGAACAAAATAGAGAGGAAGCCATCGGAAGACGAAGTCGAAGCCTAGTGGAAGACGAAGTCGAAGCCTCGATCTTGCCTCTAAACGCAAGAAGGGGCCGCTCGACTCTCGATCACCCTGCCGTATATCTCAGACGAGCCCAGGAAGGAGCCGCTCGGAGGAAGACATTCGCTTGGACGTCGGAAGGCAGGAAGAAGCCGCTCGAAGAGGTTCGCTTGGGCGCTCGGAAGAAGCCAGGAGAAGATGTCGGAAGCTCCTTCCGATTCCGCTCGGACGCTCTGAAGAAGCCAGGAGAAGATGTCGATTTCCCTATTCTGCTCGGACGCTCGGAAGAAGCCAGGAGAAGATGTTTGCCCGGACACTCGCTCGGACGATTCGATCGGAAGCTCCTTCCAATTTCCCTATTCCACTCGGATCCGCAGAGACGACCTTCTTGGTTATCTGGGACGGGCCGACAGCAGCAAGAAATCTTAAATCAGATTTGAGACCTGATTAAGACACAATATCAACCTTTATTGCTGATGTAACCAAATCAGCCCTTATTACTAATATAATCAAATCAGCCTTTATTATTGTTATAACACCACAATGTCTGAAGAAAATTCAACCCAGAGCTTTGATCAAATAGACACTAGAGGCAAACACTTATTACTTATATGCAAGCAATTGACAAAATACTGCACTACCTTAAGGGTAACCTAGGGAAACAAATTCTCTTTAGAAGAGACCACAGAATAACACTAGAGGCAAACACTGATGTTGATTATGCAAGATCACCAGTAGACATAAGATCTACTTCTAGGTATTGCACATTCCTTGGAGGAAGCCTAGTTAGATGGAGAAGCAAGAAATAGAATGTGGTGGCAAGAACTAGTGCATAAGCAGAATATAGGGCTATATCCTTAAGAATATATGAGGTACTATAAATCAAGATGAATCTAGAAGATCTAAGGATCAAGTGGGACGAACCCATAATGTTGCACTGTGATAACAAATCAACAATCAACATAGCTCGTAATCCAGTCCAACATGACAGGACCAAGCACATAGGTTGCACTGTGACAACAAATCAACAATCAACATAGCTCACAATCCAGTCCAACATGACAGGACCAAGCACATAGGTTGCTTTGTGATAACAAATCAACAATCAACAATCAACATAGCTCACAATCCAGTCCAACATGACAGGACCAAGCATATAGAAGCGGACAGACATGTTATTAAGGAAAAATTAGACAGTGGTCTAGCATGTATCAAACATGTACCATCAAAAGATCAACTTACAGATATACTTACCAAAGGATTGGACAGCTCTGTCTTTCTCAGAATGATTGCCAAGCTGGAAATAACAGATCTATATTCTCAGCTTGAGGGGGAGTGTTAAGTCCCAGCCACTCAATTCCAGATTAATCCCACGGCTACAAATAGCAATCCGTGGGAAGCTCCCTCACATTATGAGCCTTCCTTAGTTAGACACCATAATTAGGAAGGATTGTATTACTCATTGTGTAGTTTTTGTTTCTTATTAAAGCATCTTTTATAGACTATAAATAGGGATCATGTTGAATAAATTTTAAGCTTTTTCCTCTACAATCTTTTGAATTCGACAAATATCAATGTAACATAGAAGATAGCTAAAAAGGAAACTAAGGAAGAAATTTATGGATATCTTATATCATAAACATGCCCTGATTCTGATTTGCCAACACACATTTGTCATACTAATCTATGTAACGATGGTAGAAAGAAACATTTTCCCCATTTTTTTACAAACAATGCGAGTTTTAACTAAATGATGTTCCAGAACTGCTTGAGTGAACTAACAAAGGGTAATTGTTGCTTTATATTGCATCAATGTTTCAACCAATATAGATACGATTTTGTACCATAAATATATTAATCAAGTGATACCATTAAGAAAGTCTTTGGAGTTAGATATTCGCATACTAATAGTTTCAACATAATGGTAAGCTAAATAGATAATCGTGACCAAATCTGCTTAGCAACACAATGCAAAATATGATGAAAAAATAAATTACAAACTTGGCAGTTCACCAAACTCTTCAACGAGGATAGGTTACAACATCAACAACATCAAACTTTATCCCACTACATGGGGTTGGCTACATGAATCTTTTTTCTCTATTTTGTCCTGTTAAGAGTTAAATTCTCATTTAAATCTAATAAAAAATTATCATTTCTAATATTTTCTAACCAAGTTAGCCGTGATAGGTTCTTAAAATAAAATTCATAAAAGACAACAATCAAGCTTGAAACTCAGAAACTGCTGGACATTGGACCGACAACCAAGATAACTAACCTTTCTTATTCAGGTTATTCGTGGTTCATTTATAGGATCTCACAATTAAACATTTCCCGAGTTTTTTACACATTGCTAATTCAGCCACATATTAGAATAATATTAAAATTATAGTTGTTTTGAACCTCTCCTTTCTGATCTAGTGTTGCAGTAAAAAGTTGCACTTATTTCGCATTATTGCTATTCCATTAAGCCTATGGTGTAGGATAAATTAAGATGTAGAGTTTCATGATACAGATTTAAAATAAGATGCACAAAATCAAATTTGCAGTTCATATAACATAATTATATAAAAATATTCAACAGTTCAGGTGAAAGTTAGAAAATACATAAAATTCACGTAAAAAATAATTTAATTATCATCAAATGGAAATTCCACAAAAAAATTAAGATATGAAAATCAAATGACAATTTGAAATTGAGTGTAACAGGAAATTCAAATTGTATAAGTTTTGACCAAATCCAATCACTCAAACAGGCCATTAATTAAATTAAAGTACAACTCGAGATCACCGAAGTAATGATCTAAGCCATATATTGCTACAAGGAGATGACTTCCATTAGAATTTGATTGTCACCACTTGTACCATGTTAGAAAAAATTTACATCCAACCAACAATCAAGCACATAGAGAAAACAAAATAGTCTATATATATATATATATATATATATATAATGTCCATTGCATGACTCAAGAACCCTCCTATTTTTATCATAGAAAAAATAAAATCAATAGACAAGCATGGTCGCTTCCTCCCACCGATAAAATAGCTGAATTCTATAATAGCAAGTTAGCAGAAAAAAAGTCTCCAAACAAGAAATCCACAAGTTACAATTGAATCAACAAACATAAACCAAATGGCAACCCATCTGAAAGTCCAACAACAACAAATGTTAGAAAACTTCAACATCTACTACAATTTTAGAATTGAATTCTAACTATTATTCAAGCATAAGTGCATTCATGGACATGATCTAATGTAGCTGCTAATTCACATTCAATGACATCAAGTTTTCATGCTTAATCAAACACCACTTAATAATTTCATTATATCCACATGAATCCTAAGCTTAATTAAAAATACGAGCAGATTCGCCCAATACTCCTGAAATTCAAGCCAAATATAATGAAGAACTGAAGTCCTAAATACATAGTTGCTAAGAACCAATTAGTTTACTAGTCTCGAGGATGCCCAAGTAATTAAATTTCCAAAAGCTCCATTTAATGATCAAAATCCTTACGTAACACTCATCTCAAATTCTCTATTAAGCTAAAGCACAAAAGGAAAAAAAAAAAAAAACATATTTGATTTCACTTCACCCACAACGCTTTCCTAGTCTGTAAGAGGCTCTTTCCTTTTTCATCCACTACGCTTTTCTAGACATACATAACAGCCAGAACTACCGTACAATTGAAAGGCTAACTAAGAACAATACTCACTCAGTCAAATTTAGCAGATTGAAGCAAAAAAGCATAAGAGATTAAGAGAACAAGCTTTTAGTAAAAGGATTACACTGCACCCAAAAATATTAAAGAAAAAGTTCTTACCTTTGTCTTGCGCGAACCTCTTCAAGAGAGTCTTTCTTTCTTTCCATAGAATTGGTACCAAACACTTCACCCGAATCACCCCACTCCTCTCCTTTCGGAGCCTCCATGTTAGAGGATACGACGAACAGTGGAGCAGAGAGCGGAAGAAAGCACAGAAGAAGATGAGCGAGCAGCCCTAACTCCGAAGATCCCATTATATTGGCTCGGGCTCTGACCCATTGGGCCAAGTATTTTAATTCGCACGTTGTATTCAGCCCGACCCAACGAAGCGGTCCACGGACAAACTTTAAGAAGCACATTTATTTACCCTTTTTTTTTTAATGAAAGCAAAAGATTGTAAATTTGTTGATATGTTTACATTTAAGTGGTTTATTGTAAATGGAGATGGTATTATTTTTATAAATAGCCTAATCTTTTTTGTGAAATATATGTGATGCCCATTTTTTTAGATTTTTTTTAATGCTATGCTGATCAAAATGAATGAAAAAGAAAATTTATGTTTGCAATCATACTTTTTTGAATCCAAATTTTTATATATTATTTTATAAGCAATAAATTTTTCTATGTTTAAAAAAATTAAAGAAATTTTATGAAATAATTGTGCAATTACTTTTTTAAATGGCCCTTTTTTTATTCGATATTTTTTCTACTATCGAGTAAGTGATAAAAATATAAATCTAATGACAAATTAATACTAAAGAAACTACTTGTATCTTGAATTTTGAATTCACTAGATGACAACTAATTCTATGCACCCCATCTAAATGACCCATGTGTCAAAAATTATTAAATTTGTGTTCATAATGTGGCTTAAAAGGGGTTGTTTTAGTGTGGAATGAAGTTAGACTTATTATACATAATATAAACTAGGTATAGCCTCCCCAACTAGAGGTGTAAGTGAGCCAAGTTAACTCGAACTCGACTTTTTAATGAGTTCGTGAGTCGTACTTATTAAGTCATGAGCTCAAAATCAAGCTAAGATCACATATTTTACAATATACAAACTCAAGTTAGAGTTTGACCACACTAGGATCATAAGCTAGCTCAAGTAATTCATACATTAAATTTAGGGCTCATTGCATTACAACTACACACTCATTTTCTTCTTCAAAAGCTACAAGTACCCTCACTATGTTCTTTAGTGAGCTCCTACAATAAATCTCATTGCTATATTATTTAGAGAGCTCACATTGATGTATTCTCTATTGAGTTCCCTTAATAAGTCATGGCATTATATTCTCCATTAAGCTCTCATTATTGCCTTCTCCATAGAGCTCCCATTGTGAATCCCATCATTTTATTCTCTAGCTCATCCCATCCCTTCCTTCTACAATGAGCTCCTATTATTTCCTTCTCCCGACATCACTCATCTCATCGTTGTATTCTTCAGCAAGCTCTAATTAATTCTATCAATAGTAAGCTTTCATCCCTCTATAGTGAGTTTCCATCATAACTTTGGCTCAGGCTCATGAGTTGAGCTTGAGCCCACTATTTTCCAATAAACCAAGCATAAACTAGCTATATGATCATGAGCTCTAGTTCTAGCTTCCATTAAGCAGGTGAGTTAAGCTCTAATAAGTCCTGGCTTAAGCTTACACCCCTATACCCAAATAGTTTGATAAATCATCTATATCAAAATAATGATCCTTAAGAAAGGCATTGCACTTCAGCAGATCTCTAGTCATCATAGGCACTCATTGATGAACGTGGGCCATCGTGAGATTGGTTCTTGATGATATCAAAAAGTTTAACCATTAATACGCTTATGAAGGTGATAACTGAGAACTTGCTAGTAAGAGGTAACCTTTCTCTTCTCCTAACATTTGGTTATCATTTAATTCAAGTTCTCCCAACTAATTTTTCTAATATATAGTAGTGGTTATGTTGAAAGTACAACCTTCTCTTCAAACTTGACATCACTGGTTGACTTTGATTTTCTCTACCAAGTAGTCAAAATTTTCCACATAATAAGTTCTCTTGGCTGGTCAAAAGATGAGGCAATTGATCCATTGTTATACTCTACAACGTAAGTATGGTTATTTACAAGTTAAAGCAACTTGGTCAATGCCCTTAGCAACTGTAGACCAAGGGCGTACTTAAATGGTCTCTCCCAAAGCCCTAGAGACAAAAAAAATACTTGAGTCACTATCAACTCTAAGACTTTTACTTGTAGTATTTTCTTTTAAAATCTCACAATAATTTTTCTCATTAACTCACTTAGTTCCTGACTCATCTATAATAACCCTTAAAATTTCTTCAAAAGTTTTGTGTTGACAAATTGGCCCATAAATAACTTTTTGAATTCAACAAAAGCCATTATCATCCCTAGTGAAAGTTTTGAGAACAACATGAGAGATGGTTCCTTAAATGTGGTAAATAATTGACTACCCTTCAATGCTTTGTTGTGTCTAGTAGGGCTATGGTTGAATCAAAACAGGTCACTTGGTTGGCAAGGTCAGTTTTCCCTTTGTAGGACTCAAGATGGGTGAGCTTAAATTTTATTGGAAGCTTTACCTGCTCAATTTGCCATGAGAATGAGTTTATTAGCTTATGCTTGCACTTCTTAACTCGACAGATGTGGAGTTGATTACTTACTGTTGTCTTGATAATATGCTTCTTATAATACTGGTATTAAAGTTAGCACCCTCACACTTGATGGTTCTTTTTGAATGGTTGAATCATAAGATTGTTTAAGTATATCCTTTATTGGAATAACTTTAACGATAAATAACAAGGCTCCTTGGACCAACCTTGTAACTCTTTCCTCCATCCTCCATCAATTATCAAATGGTTATTAAGTTTTGATTATCCATGTTGATTGATTCTTCCCAACACAATTATTTTATTTCTTACATTGTCTACTTTTTAATTTGTAGAACCAATCCATGCTCAGGTCACCTTTTAAGATGTTATATTCAAAATTGTCTATGGACGATGTTAGAACCTTATTTACATGATTCTCATGGTAACATAAAATAGAAGTTGAAAGGATAGAGAGAGAGAGAGGATCTAGAGAAAGAAGATATGTAATTTTATTATATTACCAAAAGCTCATGAGTTGAGTATATGAGTTATGAGTATCCAAAACTCTACCTTGACCCCCTATTTATAGGATCAACTAGAGTCTAATGCAACATGAAAAGCCATTTCTTTGGCAAAATATATAATAAAAAGGTACATCATATTACAATTGATGTATTGCATGAATTACATATAAGTATATATGGATACTTAACTAAATTCACTATCATCTTCTAGATTGAAAATATCACCGACCAACTAGTTGAAGTCACTAACTAGTTTTGAAGATAGTTCGTGCAAGTTGCTTCTTAACTTAGGCGGTTTGATTCCATATTTAGGCAAGTAAACCTATTGAATTCTTAGGTTGAGTGTTCTTTGGAAAGTTTACCAGGATTATGACAAGTTCATTGCCTTTGAACTACATGCTTTTAATCAATTTGCCCCGAATCAGGTTGACTTCCCTTGGAATAAGTCCTTAAGATAATTGGATGAACAAATATATCTACGATTTCAATGAATAGAGATGAGATTGTCCTTCATTGAGGGATTTCTTTAAACAAGTTGCACCCTAAATACTTTGCTTTCTTACGTAGTGGTCAACAATTATATTTATATACATCATAGTACAAGAATCAAACCTGATTCACATAATCAGTTATATATAATCACACGTAAAATTCTGATGTCTAATAGCGCTCGAACTCATGGCACATTGATTGGAAACAAATTTGAAAATCTTTTGGGTCGGATTTGAATGCTCACACTAATATTTAAATATATATATATATATATATATTTAAATCAATTATATATTTTTTCTTTTCTTATTATTTTTTCTAATATATGAGCTTAGCAAATAGGTAAGTGTATATATTAGTGTTCAAATATATTGTTTCATGAGTATGAGTTGAACAAACCTGATATATCATAAAAAATTAAATATGATTGGGCTTGAATCTAGAGATAAAATTGTGTTGGAAACTTCTAAAATTAAATTCATGACCATCAAACTCTGATTTCGGCAAACTTATAATCAAACTAAACATCTCGTAAAGACAAACTCAACGACACTAAATTCGACCCACACCGAGTCCAAATGGTTTCAAATCAAAGACTCAAAGCGCATTTGAAAGATTCAAACCATAAATTGGATAATCAAACATTTTTCAAATATGATATACTTATAATTGAATCGAGCAGCTCGTTGAGATAAATCGAACGAGCCAAAGATCACTGAATTCTAATATCATTAAAACACTCAAAAATTTGATGAACGATCCACGATCAAGGGAATCAAAATTGGTCATCTGTTCAAAACACTCCCATCATTACTCTGATCTTTTTTCTATTTACTAGCTATGTCACTCTAAAAATATTATAAATAGACCATTCATTCTTGATTGAAGGAGGACTAAGCAAGGAAGAGAAAGAGGAAAGAGAAATCCGAATTCTCTTGCCACCAGACTCCTTCTCGACCACTTCCAGCCACAGATCGTCGCTAGACTTCTTCCCGGCCATCGACTATTGACGGGCTTCTTTTCAGCCATTGACTGTCACCTGACTTCCGTCTGGCCACCAATTGACATAGAATTTACACCCAGCCACTGATCATTGTCAAACTTCTGTCTGATCCCTATTTGTCGCTAGATTTTAACGTAACAGTTTAATATTGTGATCTAATTGTCCTCAAATTCAAGGATGAATAATCATTTGTAATATATTCAAACACTGTTAGATTCATATCAAATGTGAGTGGACTCATGGTCTTTCCCTTTAGGGTTTTTCACATTACAAAATTTGGTGTTTTTGTTCTCTATGTTTGTGAGTTTGATACTCATGCAATGCTAAGACATGAAGTTTTTTGTCCTTTATCATCACGAATATTCTAGCCCGCAACAAAACCTATGATGGGTTCATAGTAATCTAAAGCCAAGCCCAACATATAAGGATATGTATGGATGAGTTCTATGTATTAATCCATCTTAGGTATAACTAATTCATATTATATCAAGGGTGTCAACAAGGAAGCTCCATGAGTCAAAACAACAAAACTGTAAAATCAAAAATACTGTGCCAAAATAGAGGTCAATAAGAAGAAATTAACATGGCTAATTTTTTTAGTAAATGAAAAAAAGACCAAATTATAAAACTTCATAATATAACCTTACTATGTAAATTTTTCATTCAT